ATCGATCTATCTCATAACTGTCAATCCATCGTTGACCGTGGGTTGCCAACAGGGACGACTTGCTTCTGGTTGGGGAGGACTCACAAGTAGTGGGGCAGCTGTGAGCCCTTTACCAGCCAGGAGTCAGGACATCTGTGGGATTCAGGCAAGTGCGCCCAACTGTGCTGTCCCCGGTCCCTGGCCTGGGAAGAGCAGCTCAGGCCGCTCTGCTTTCTGCACCATGTGAATTCTTAAATTTAACAGTGGAGCCGTTGCTTGCTCCTACACTTTCTTCAGCTCTTGCCTCTTTTGGATGGAGACTGTGTTGGGATAGATGGGGTACTGCCCCTCTAAGAGATCATCTGTGAGGCCAGTGTTTGTACCTGACTCATGCTCAGCCCAGCCCGGCTTCTTTGGCATGTCCCACTGCTGAAGAAGCGCCAATTTGATTTCATTCTGAGCTGTTTTTATTCAGAGGACTAGGAAGTCCTTAGAGAGATGATTAGGAATACCAGACCAAGTTCAGCTGTAGGAAGGTAGGTGTGCCTCTGCTGTTCGATTTGTTTGTTTGAGACAAGGTCTCAGTACGTAGCCCTGTGTAAACAGGCTGACCGGGAAATCAGAGATCCGCCTGCCTCTGCCTTCCAAGTGCGGGATTAAAGGTGTGCGACACTGCACCTGCCTGTGAGGGATTTGTAATTTAAATCATGGGCATCTGTGTTCTGATGCATATCTGCCTCCCTTTGAAGCTTTACTAAGCAAATGACTACCGTTCGTAACTCTTCTCTCTTTTGTTTTGTTTTGCTCTTAATTACACTATCTTTCCTTTATTTCTTTTTGTTTGTTTGTTTTCGAGACAGGGTTTCTCTGGGTCGCCCTGGCTGCCCTAGAACTCCCTATGTCCATCAGTCTGACCTCGAAATCAGAGATCCACCTGCCTCTTCTCCTGAGTGCTGGGATTAAAGGCGTGTGCCACCACCACCCTGCCTTAATTACATTTTTTTTTCCAGTCTGGAGAATGTTGAACATAGAAGCAGAATAGATACTGAGCCACAGAGAGCTTCAAAAATCACTAGTGTTAGCTCAGCTAAATTCAGCTGTTTTTAATCTAGAAATGAAACTAAGCTAAATTCAGCTTAATCTAGAAATGAAACTAATCTAGAAAGCTGTTTTTAATCTAGAAATGAAACTAAGCTAAGTTCAGCTTAGTTCAGCTGTTTTTAATCTAGAAATGAAAGCCACAGACACAGCATCCAAAGGCCCCAAACTACAGGCAAATGGAAGTATCATAAATGAAAACATCATAAAATGGAAATATCAAAATAGTTCTACTGATCTCTGTACAGGACACCTTTAAAGGCTGCAGAGTCCTGTCATACCATCCGGTGGCTGGGAAGCCCAGAACGTTTGACATCCAACCTGCAGGGACTCTTGTCAGCACCAAAAGTTCCAAGAGATCTAAGTTCACATCTCAACTTGACTCTCCTGGGTAGCTTATTCCTTGCTTAACCTTTATCTTGTTTGTACTCCAGGAGCAATTACAGACCTACACACCACCTCAGGATTTTGAGAGGATGTAACAAGATGATGACAAGTGACGGACTGAGCAGAGTCCCAGGCATTCACTAAATAATTGATGAGTCTGGGTCTGCTTTAAGGTTTTTCTATTGCTCCCTCTATGAAGCATTTTATTTTCATCTCATACTTGCATTCCTAGTGTTTCCTCCCAGTAATTCTAAGGGCAGCTCCTGGGGTGGGGCCTCTTTCTTATAGTCCCTTCTCAGAGATCCAGATAAAATTGCCCCCAGAGATATCTGTTGCCACCAGTGAGAATGGCACCAGGTGTAGTTCCATGCTTACTCTACTGAGGCAGTATGCTTGGCTCTTTCCCTGCAGCCTGTGGCCCAGGTCATCAGAGAAAAGGCTTCCCTGAGCTCCCTCCCAGCCCTCCAGCCAGGGGCAAGGAGTGCTGCACAGAGGACACCCCATGTTCTTTCCGGCTTTAGGGGTGCAGTGTACTTCCTTTGTGATGAGCAGGGATTCACCAATCCTCACTAAAACATGTATCCCTAGCTGCCTGCCTGCCTGCCTGCCCTGATGGTGTTCTAGATGCTCAGGCCCCGTGTCCCCGTGTGTATTTGTCTCTCTGCAGCTATCCTTCCCACCAGGCTCCTGAACTCTCACCTAGCTTCCAGGCTCCGCACCTGGCCTCTCCAGACATGGCTTAGAGAACTTGCCACCCTCCTTCCCATTCCCTCACTTCACTATCCTTCTCCTGACCAGCCCTAGGAGGCAGGGACACTGAGTGGCTCCGTCACTTATGCCAAAGCTCAATCTTCAAATGTGGAAAGACCACAACTATGAATCTCTTGGTGTTCTCTGTAACCAGTGGCATGAAAAACTGGCTCGAAGAAGACTGAGAGAAATTTATACATAGCTATAAAGTTGAGGGGACAGGGGAGAGAGGGGAAGGCAGGGAATATGTGAAAAAGGCTGGAATATGATTGCCAGGTTAGATGCAAAACTAGATAATGTCCATAGGACAACAGAATTTCAAACTTTCAGACTAATTTCTCTACCAAACAAAAATTGCCTACCTCTTCCAATGTAACACTTACATCCATCAGGTTTTTACCATTCAACTCCTAACATTACAGCATGGGTGCCCCATTCACTAGGAATAGGAACAACAATTGGCCATTTTTTCTAAGTGTTTGAAATCAGATATGTATTTCATACTTGCAGTACATCTCAGATTGAAACTAAACGCATTCCAAGAGGTTCGGTGCCATAGAGGATTTAAGAGAACACAGATGTTGGGTCCCACCAGAACTGTTTAGATGCAGCAGGTCTAGGGCAGAGCCTGAGCCTCTGCATTCCTGCCAGGTTTCTATGCAACACAGCTGGTCTGGATGTTTTTGAAAACCGCTGTGACAGTGGCCTATACCTGTCAGCTTCCGAGTGTACAGAGTAACGCTTACTCACAGTATCCACCTCGCAGGAGCCCTTCCTCTAGAAGCCTGGGAGTTGGCACAGTGAGCAAGTGTGGATACTAGGGAAGTACCTTTAGGGCTTACCCCACACATACTGGTCATATGATCCACAATATCCAAAAGTTAGCATTAATCCCCTTAGCGCAGGGACTGTGTTCCAATCTGAGATGCTTCCTTCCTTCTAGCTCCTCATAAAAGCATGCTGGGTACTGAAAGTCATAAGCCAGCCTGTACTTTGTATGCCCAGGGGGCTGGTGCCCCACCACACACTCGATTGTGGATTGTGGGCATGTCCGAGGACTGTGAGGCCGCAGGGCATCTGTACCATGAGACGCCTTCAAGAGTGAGAAACATGTAAATAGTGTACAGAGAGCTACAATATGTATGCTTTCAAACCACCACCTTCATTTTAGAGCCTTATCTGCTACCTATTACAGTAAACAGCATGGTACAAACGGCTCCCAAGTAAGTGGAAGGAAAGTAGGAGTGCTGCCCAGAGGGCCCAGGAAGCGTGCTTCATGCCCAGACCCTCCAGGACTTAGCCCTGCCTTCTACAATTGCAGGATGATGGAGAATGCTCTCAGAGCCTCCCAGGGCTAAGCACACATTATAGTATGTGTAGCCACAATGGCCAGAGTATGGCCTACGGTTACTTTACTGATGGTGTCAGGCCTTCCCACCTACTGCTTGGAAGACTGAAGGATCAAGTGTCCTCGTGTTTGTACATACAGTGGCCTCTTCACAGCATGTACTGTGCTTTTTTTTTAAAGCAATTATTATATGTAAAAAAGGAGCAAATCACTGCATATGTGTATGATATGTGTATATGGTAAGTAGGGGTTATCGGACGGGAAGTCTGCTGAGGAGGGTGTCGTTTTCAGTGACGGTTTTTTAAATCATATGTAGGTATGATTTTAAATCACAAGTAGGTATATTATTTTCTATATTCTTGCTATGCATATACCTTATAGTATAGACACATAAGACACACGAGAGGCACAGACTTACGTGTGCTTGCGTTATTCTTTTTTTTTTTTTATTATTTGATTGTTTTGAGACAGGGTCTCTCTCTGTAGTCTTGATTAGCCTGGAACTCACTATGGAGATCAGGCCAGCCTCAAACTCACAGAGATCTACCTGCCTCTGCCTCCCAAGTGCTGGGACTAAAGGTGTGTGCTCCACCATGCCTGGCCTCATGCTTGATGAGAATAGGCCATATTTCAATATATGCTTGTGCTATGGCTGTATCTTGTGAGTAATAAGAGATAAAGCATTTGCATCATCTATAACTGACACACTTTATGCTGCATGCATATTGGATAGGTGGTGGTTATTATCTGGGGAGAGGTGTGCTATATGACAGATATGTTGTGTGTGACGGGCATAGGCTATAACAGATGGTAAACATGGTAAACACTTTGCTTTCAGTATTGGGCATATGTAAGTATGTGCCCAAGTATATGGGACATACTTCGTATGTGTGGTAGGTACACATTGTGATGAGTATAATTTGTGAGTAATAAGTACACATACATATATTGTAGAATTTATCACTGATACATTCTGTGGTGGATATACACTGGGAAGGTAGATATACATACATACATACATACAGATAGATAGATAGATAGATGGATGGATAGACAGATAGATTTTACAAGACAGGTTTTTCTGTGTAGCCTTGGCTGAACTCAATTTGTAGACCAGGCTGGCCTCGAACTCACAGAGATTCATCTGCCTCTGTTTCCCAGAGTGCTAGGATTATAGGCCTGGCAATAAATATACATTTTATAGACAAATAAACACTAAGTACATCTATGTAGTTAGACAGTCCCTGTGACAGATCAGTTTGGTCCATCTCAGGCAACTTGTGTGTACACAGCTTGAGATAGGAATATGGAGTGCGTACCTGTGTTCAAGCAAACAAGGGGTGTCACTGTGCTGGGAGGGGGCTTGGCAGAGAGCCACGATCTCCATCTCTTTACGGAACCCCCCAGACCCTTGAGCCTCCCAACCTCACTGTTCCAGGTTCTTCCTCAAATTCTTTCTCAAATGCAACCAGAACTGCTTGAAGAACGCGGGGAATCCCCGAGACATGCGCCGTTTCCAGGTAGGTTTGGGAAGCCTCTCACCCCGCGCAAATCCACCCTTTACCGAGGGTGAAGGGAAAGGTGCGACCCTGCCGGAGCCTCCGCCCAGCCCAGTGCCTCAGGGCCTGGTGCCCGCTGGGGGTGGGGCGGCTCCATCTCAACTTATGCTGGCTGCCAAGGGAGGCTTCATTAGAGTCCCACTTAAGAAGATGCTAATTGTGACATTTTTACATGATTAACGACCCAGGTAATTTGCATAGTGTGAAGCCGAGAACAGCTGCCCTTAGCACATCCCCAACCTGCACACCCCTCCCGAAGCAGGGGGTAGGGAGATGGCAGCACCGATTTCCTGCCCAGAATAAAGTGGGGGTTCCTGTGGCTGATGTTGTGCCTCAACTTTAGGAAAGCATTCCTGTCTCCAGACTTGATTGACTCTGAATAGTGTCCCTGTGTGTGCAGAGACTGGGGTGCTCTTTGCCTGAGAGCTTTTGGTTTTTTTTTTTTTTTTTTTTTTTTGGTAGCTCCTGAGAGGTCGGTTCAGCTGGGGGTGTCACCTGGTTCAGCTGGCCTCGGCTGTGCCAGCTCAGCCCCGACCCAACCGAGCCTCCCCTCACCTACTCTGAATCCCAGCTTCCAGCCACCGACCTCAAGATGCTCGGTCACTCAGGGGTCCCAAGGGGCCCAGCCCGACTGGTCTTATCTGTGCACACAGGTGGTGGTGTCCACGACAGTGAGTGTGGATGGGCACGTGCTAGCCGTGTCTGACAACATGTTTGTGCACAACAACTCCAAGCATGGCCGAAGGGCCCGGCGCCTGGACCCTTCTGAAGGTCAGGACCCCCAGCCCAGCCCTGGCCAGCCTCAGTCTCTCCCGTGGTGCAGTCCCCTGAGCTGGGTCCTCTCCTCCCTCGCAGCTGCCACCCCCTGCATCAAGGCCATCAGCCCCGGGGAGGGCTGGACCACGGGTGGCGCCACCGTCATTATCATCGGCGACAACTTCTTCGACGGGCTGCAGGTCGTGTTTGGCAACGTGCTCCTGTGGAGCGAGGTGGGCCGACCCCTGCCAGTTTCCCTCTGCGTCTCACGGCCAGGCCCTCCCCACAGGGCTAGACCTGCAGACCTCCCCTCTCCTCACAGCTCATCACCCCCCACGCCATCCGGGTGCAGACGCCTCCACGACACATCCCCGGGGTAGTGGAAGTGACCCTCTCCTACAAGTCCAAGCAGTTTTGTAAAGGAGCCCCTGGCCGCTTTGTTTACACAGGTAAGGGATCGGGCAGCCGAAGCAGGGGCTAAGACCCACAGAGATAGCCCCGTGAGCTCAAGGAACTCAAACACAGCTGCAGAGGGTGACAAAAATCTACAGCTGGCAGAAGATCCCAGGCAACTAATCCTCCCCGCCCCGCCTCCTACTAAAGCCTTTGTGCTCTTGACCTGTGTTTTCCCTGAGTTTCCGGCTCCTTGGAAGCAAGTTCTGCCCCAAGTCTTCTCACCAGGGACTGCCTCTCCCAACTGGCCACGTACTCTGGAGTTCAGAACCTCTTTAGGGGTTTTCTTTTTGTTGTTTTGCTTTTTCATCTTAAAGATGGCTCCAAACCGCTTCACAACTCCCCAAGTCTTTCCCGGGTATCTTGGGTCTTCCAGGATGCAGTCTGCATTTACATTCTGGTGTGTGTGAGCCCCCCACCCCTCAACACACGTCCTTGTACAATGCCTTGGTGAACAGCTAGCACAAGGCTTAAGGGGATGCGGGGAAAACTGGGTTCAATCTGACTGCTGGTGGGGATTCTAATTTCCTGCCCTCATTGCGAGGGCCTGGGGATACTTTCAGGCTGCTCCTTCATAACTTGGACAGGCTGAGCGGCAGACACAGAATGGGTGGGTGGGTGGGTGGAGTTCCAGGGTGGAGGACCTGACAGGGGAAAACCCACCCCTGGGAGTAAGCGCTGAACTAAGCTGTAACTGGAGAGGGATAGGGAGGCAGGCACTGGCCAGAGCTGTGCACTTTATGCTTTGGGGGAAAGGAAAGGAAATGAACTAAGCCTGGCATTGGAAGTGAAGAAAGTAGAGCCTTTGAGACCAGGGTGCAGTAAAGAGCTCAAGGGGGAGGGGAGGGACGAGAGCCAGAGACTGGCTGAGTACCGCATCCTCCCGAGCCCCATGTTTTGGGGGGGATCCCTTTGCTGGGGTGCAGGCAAACCTTAATAATTACGTTACTGAGAAGCAACCTGCTCCGTGATAAATATTGTTGAGGCCTTTCTTTTTAAATGACAAACTGATACGAACAAATGCAAAAACTCCCGGGTCCTGGCCCTAGGAGTGTAGAAGAGCGTGCGCGCGTTTGTGGGTGTGTGCGTGCATGCGTGTGTGCGCGCCTGTGCGTGTGTTGATGCCAAACTTGGCACGGAGCCTGACTCAGTAAATGTCTTGAATTAATTCTGACCGAATAAATGAAGGAACCGAGACGACCGCTGTCGGCGCTCGCTGACATATAGGGGCGGGTTTTTTTTGGGGGGGGGGGGCAACGTGGGCTGGTTTTGGTGGAGTGAGCTCGCCCTGGGAGGGTGTCCTCCAAACAGTGCCATTCTTTCCAGCCCTCAATGAGCCCACCATTGACTACGGATTCCAGAGGCTACAGAAAGTCATTCCCAGACACCCGGGGGACCCCGAGAGGCTGCCCAAGGTACTCAGAGGGAGGGGCCGGAGTAAGGACGCCCTGCGGGCGAGGGGGTGAAGAAGTCCCTCCAGGGGCTGCCCCTCGGCCCTTCTGTCTCTCCCCCTGCCCTAGGAAGTGCTGCTGAAAAGGGCGGCTGACTTGGCGGAGGCCCTGTACGGAGCGCCCAGCAGTAACCAGGTATGGCGTCCGCCAGCGCCGGGGCCCCGGGGCTCTGACCCCGCGCCTACCGCTGCCCCGGCTGTGCCCCGCTCTTGTCTTCGCAGGAGCTCCTCCTGAAGCGCGCGGCGGACGTGGCCGAGGCTCTGTACAGCGCCCCCCGCGCGCCGGCACCGCTCGGACCCCTGGCCCCCAGCCACCCGCACCCCGCTGTCGTGGGCATCAACGCCTTCAGCAGCCCTCTGGCCATCGCCGTCGGGGACGCCACGCCGGAGCCCGGTGCGTGTCGCCGCCCCCGCCGTCGGTGACGGCGCACCGGAAGAGCCCCGCGCCCCCAGCTCGGCTAACCACCCCTCTCCCGCAGGCTATGCTCGCAGCTGCGGCAGCGCGTCTCCCCGGTTCGCGCCCAGCCCTGGCTCTCAGCAGAGCAGCTACGGCAGCGGCCTCGGAGCTGGCCTCGGCAGCTATGGCGCGCCCGGTGTGACTGGCCTCGGCGTGCCCGGGTCCCCTAGCTTCCTCAATGGCTCCACTGCAACCTCACCTTTCGCCAGTGAGTGTCCCCAGCCCACAGGAAGGGGGGAGGGCCAGCCTGGGAATACAGAATGGACCCAGCCCTGCCTTCAGCCCATCCTGGGGGTGTGGACTTCCAGTTCCTGCCTTATGTCGGTGGACCTAGCCATGGAGAGCCCTCAGTCCGTGATTTTGGACCTTAGCCTCACTCCTCGGGGAGCCCCGGAATCCTGGGGACAAACCTCCTGCACCTTAAGCCCGATTTGCTGACCCCAGTTGTGCACATCGCTTCTAGCTCTCCTATGATTGAGAAGCCGCCCTTAATTAGGGGGACCTGTGCTGAAACCTGATGGACAGCAACCTTTTGGTCCTTCGCCGGGACTTCGGGAGGAGGCTGGCGGCCCCTGCTGGAAGCCTCAGGAAACTCTAGAGACTCGGGCTTCCAGCGCCCAGCAGCCGCAGGAATGTGGGGCTCTTGGTTTCGGAAGTGCTTCCTGGGGCTGGGGAGAAACGGGATGGGGGTAAGAGGAGGCTAGGGGCTCGGCGGGATCCCAGAGGAGCTTCCTCACTCCCTCACCCACAGGACAGTCTTATTCCAGTTCTGAGTACCTTGAGCAGCCTCTCAGGTTCTCCCAGATGGCAAAACAAGGAAAGCCCTGCGACCAGAGCTGGATTCAGAATTGAGAGTCTTAGGCAGGAGCTGTCAGACATCGAACAGTTACACCTCTGGACTTAAGTTCCTCTTAGTAAATCAGGATCATCTCCACCTCCTGCCCTAGGAGGCTCCCCTGCCTGACTATGCCTGTGCATAGAAAGCCAGACAAAATTCAGAAAGCGTATGATTTTGCAGTCCCGCCCCAAACCGTAAGTGCTGTCATCTTGGGTTAAGACAGCTCCTGGATAGATGGATGGATGAACAGTGGATTTTTATGCTTTACCGCTGCCTGTCATCCCCTTGCGATTCCGGTGGTTACTCAGCAGGTATTTATAATACACTTACGGGTGACAAAGCACTAGGCTTGGCGGACTGTCCACCAGTCACAAGAGAGCTTGTTCCTCAAGGCCTGGGGCACTACTGAACCTGAAAAATAGCCACAGCTGCCCGAGAAAAAGCTTGTGGCTTTGCCTGCATTTCCCTCACTTCTGCCTCCCCATGCCCTCTGTTTTCTCTTACCTAAAGTAACAGTCCAGTCACCAGCCTAACCTTTCCTTACGAGAGGTGCTGTTCCTACTGGCTAGAATATGGCCTGGCACGTACTGTCCTTTGACATTGACTTGGCTTGTCAAAACCAAGCTCCCTCTGAGCCAGAGTCCACACAGGTTGTAGCCTTCTTGTGTCCCTCCCAATGCACGCCTCTCCTGGCACTTGGCTCAGATCAGGTTCCACTGCTTCACGTCCCTAAGGCAGTGTGGCCTCACAGCCTTTTTCTAGATTTCCCTTGTGTTTGAACCCCTTGCCCTTTTCCAGATGTACATTACTGCTGACAGCAGGATAGCTGCCCCAGTGCACAGTCTATCCTGGGTCATCTCGTTCAGCGAGGGCAGAACCCCCAGAGCCACTTGTGTCCTGTTTCACCATCAGCAGGGACACGCTGAACTCTACTGAGGCCCATTCCCATCTCATAATACCTTCACCCAGGTCCACATCCACTCCCCCCCCCCCAAGGGCAAGCTGCTTTGCGACATTTGCATAGGGTGTCATTCTCATTGAGTTTGCCAATGTCATCTAGTCAGAGGGTCTGTGTTTCTACTTGGTCTTTGGTATTAGTTGTTAGCAAATCTAGGACTCCATAACTTTGCAAAATGTGGCTATTAGCTCTCTGAGCCTTGAGTGATTGTATGTGTGTATTATATAATCATTGGTGTTAAGCAGCCAGGGATTTACCAGGCAGCACTGAACATTTTCCTCAAGGAGGCCACAGGCTAAGGACATTTAAAATAGGGTAGTGATTGCAGTTATTTTTTGTATCAAAAGTCAGTGAGTGGGTGTTCTGATGTCAAAGGAGTCTTCCCAGGCCACAGATTTCTCCCAGGAAGTCTGTACCTGCTGTCCATGCCTGGTGGTTGAAAAAGATTAAAAATCCTGCCTACTGGTCTTTAGAAGTGAAAAGTAGGAAAATAGGTTCAGATGAGAATGTAGAGAGGAACAACTAAGATTCCCTATACAGGAGCCCTGGCAGACACAGGAGGCTTTTGCGGTCCAAACTGAAGATGACAGGGCCTTGAATCAAAGTGGAAAGAAACCTTATGTGTGTGTGGGGGGGGGGGAGTAGAACAAAGTGGATTTTTGTTTGTTTACGTATGAGTGCTTTATTTGAAAGTACACCTGCATGCCAGAAGAGGACATCAGATCCCAGTATAGATGGTTGTGAGCCACCCTGTGGTTGCTGGGAATTGGATTCAGGACCTCTGGAAGAGCAAACAGTTCTCTTAACTGCTGAGCCATCGCTCCAGCCCCCACCAAAGTGTTCTATGTTGGGTAGGAGGGTTCACTTGGAGAAGCAGTTTGGGTGATTGTGTGAGCTGTCATCCTTGGTAGAGACGCCTTATATCAGAGGCTGCATATAGACCAAAACTTCATTCCTATCCACAACTTTGTTGTGACCCTTAAACTTTGATAGTAGCTTTGGCAACGCATAGTCATAAGGATTTTATTAGCATTTCAGAATTTTAGCAGTTTTCAGCAGGAATCCCAAACTTTTCATCTTTTTCTTCTCTCCCATCTTTGGGAGTGTTGCCCCACTGTTTTTGTTTTCGCTGGGACTGATCCTGTCATCTCCAACCCTGTACATTGTGTCCAGAATTCCTAAAAAGGCAAGGACTGGTCCAGGACCCAAGGGCTTGCAGTTTGCCTCCTGGCACTACCTTGTAGTGGTCTTCTTAGGGACCCCTCAGGCCCCAGGGAGGCCCGAGCCTGCAGCCTGGTCAACAGCCCACATAGGACTCACTGCTCACGCGGCACCACTACCCCGCTGCTCACTCTGGTGCTGTCTCCCTGTTGTGTCTCCCCCTGCCTTCCCTGCCACACCTGCCCCTTCCTCGCCCCGCCCCGGAGTCATGCCCTCTAGCCCCCCGCTGGCAGCTGCCTCCTCCATGTCCCTTCCGGCCGCTGCCCCCACCACCAGCGTCTTCTCCTTCTCGCCTGTCAACATGATCTCCGCTGTCAAACAGAGGAGTGCCTTCGCCCCTGTGCTGCGCCCACCCAGCTCCCCATCCCAGGCCTGTCCCAGAGCCCACAGAGAGGGGCTGCCAGGTGAGCAATCAAGGCTGCCTCATGGTGACCTAAGGGAGGGGCCTACTCCATCTGAATGTCACCAATGCCCCATGCAGTTGACCAGTTGTTTTTGGAGGGTGCCCGGCAAGAAGCTCTGTGGGGGGTCCAGGAAGACCCATCTGGACTCCACTTCCTTGAACCTTAAAGCTTGAAGTACTCTGGCCTCTAGACCCACTCAACTGACCACTGGGTCATCTAAAGAACAAGAGGGCGCCGACCTTAGGAAAGGTTTAGCCTAGCTTCCCCTTCCCCGCTGTGCAGATTAGGAATTAAGAACAAGTTCCCCTCCTGTGTCCAGGAAGCAGATACTTTTCTTTTCCACAAAACTTTCCCACCCAAAAAGTCACTGTGAAAACTCGGTGGGAGGAGGGGGAGGATGGCTGTGGGGAAGGAGGAAGAGGTAACAGATACGGGGTAGAGCGAGTTCCAGTTGGGAAAGACATCTGGGAGCAGGGATAGATGAGGTTGTCATCTTGCCATTGCAAAGCTCCAGGGATGTCTGGGGGGATCTCCCAGGACCCAAAAGAGAGCTTAGCACTTAGCACAACACCTGGCCCTTGGCGTTTACCCCATAGTTGGTACCTGATAACTAAAGGTTAAGTTTTTAGGTGAGTATTGGATCAGAAGGCCCCCTTCAAGTGCAGAAGCCTCTAAAAGGGTTCATTGCAGTCTGACAGACAGCTGAGTTGACAGAGGCTGGGCTAGAGCTGGGGTAGAATATACCTCACCCCTATGGCATAGCCTCCCAGGGAGTAATGGGCCATCCTCAGGGAAGAACCTCCCTTCAGTAAACTGTGATATTTATTCCATTTTTAATAAACTGAGATATGCTGTGAATCGCCTAGGAAACAAATTTAGTAGAGCACAAAAATTTATTTATTTATTTTTTTAGAGACAAGGTATCTCTACATAGCCTTGGCTGTCTGGGAACTCACAGAGATCCATCTGCCTCTGCCTCCCAAGTGCTAGTATTAAAGGTGCACAATATTTAGTTTTAAAAAGAGCATCTGGACATTCATTCCTAGTGGTATCTTTGAGGCTTAGGAAGAGACACCATGTGGTCTCCTAAATCTGAGATGGTTTGCTGAGACCAAAATAAAGTCATAGAGGCAAGGCTGCTGAACTAGACCCATGGCCAGCCTTCAGCCCAGTGCAGTGACAGTTGGAAGAATGGTAGACAGTCCCCTGACAGGCCTCTGAGCCCCAAGGTTCTCCATGAGAGACCTGGGACACTGGAAGGTGTTGAAACACCGCATGGGGCCTGGGAAGACAACTGAGGGTGACAGATCTACACAGCAGCCCAAGACCCACCCGACCTCTGGAAAACATGGCTGCAGTGGAGGATGGCCCTTCAACCCACTGTGGTCCAGGAAACTGCTGCACTCCGCCCTACTCTGTAGATAGAACGGGACCTTTCCCTCCAGAGGCTGCTGCTCTGGGCATTCCAGACAGATATGGATGGTGATTCAACTAATTACAAACTTTTATACAGGGTAAGACTGGTTCTCTAAGGCAGTAAACTTGCCTATGGAGAAACTGTCCTTTCCTTCCTCCGTCCCTCCTTCCCTCTGTTTCTTCCTTCCTTCCCTTGTTGACTTTTCACTTTTCAGACAACAAGGGAAGCCCAGAGCAGCCTCAAACTTATTAACATCACTGCTCCATTAAGCCCCAAGATTATATTTTATCTTTTTTTTTTTTTTTTTTGGTTAATCAGAAGTCTCCCCCGAGCCAGGCATGGGGACTCAGACCTTTAAACTCAGCGCACTGTGGAGACAGAAGCAAGTGGGTCTCTTTGAGTTTGAGGCCATCCTGGGCTACATAGCTAGGAAGTTCCAGAACAGCTACGGCTGCATAGTGAAATCTTGTTTCAAGACAAATGAAAGAGTCTCACCCAAGCTAATCCGTCTTAACACAGAGATGGCTTCTATGGTCGGCTTATTAGCTATTGCTTCAGGGTGACTCTAAAAGAATACGCACATAGTCCTAGCTGGGCACAAAGACAGGACTGTAAATCCCAGATCCAGAAGATCTCCAGTTCAAAACCGGCCTGGCTTACATAGCAGCGCCCGGTTCCCAACTTCCGCAACCCTGAAAAAGATATAGCCCCTCTTTACATGGTCATATTTCCAACTTTTGGATAATTTGTCTTAAGACGTATGTGCAGCTTAAAATGTGGGAGATGGAGCAAGCAGAGGACCCAGTTTCCCTGCCAGTGCAAGGAAAGCGGTCGGCAGGGTGGGAGCTATGAAATGATGTGTTTCCCACCTCTGGGTGGCAGACAGGCTGCCGCTGTGTGTATATGTCAGTGCTCCTAGAACCTGCCTCTTCCTTACTGCCATGGTCCTCACCTTGGCCCTGGAGAAGGTGTGTCTGAGCTTGAGATATGGCATGGTGAGCAAAGTATTTGCTGTGCAAGCATGAGCAGCTGGGTTCAGTCGCCTGACTTCCACAAAAGGCTGAGTGTACCGGAATACACTGAACCCCAGTCCTGAGGCAGGCAGGCAGGTTCCTAAGGCTCGCTGGCCAGCGAGTTTACCTGGGAAATAATGACAAGTTCCAGTTTCAGTGAGTGGCCTTGTCTCTAAAATAAAGTGGAGAAAGACACCCAGAGCCAGCGTCTGCCCTCCACCACACACATGCACAGGTGAGCACGCTTGCATACGCATACAAATACGCCACACAGAAAGACAGACAGACAGACAGAGAGGAAGAGGGAAGCCTAGAAGAGAAGCCCAGAAGTCAGGAAAGTAAGGAAATCAAGAGTGTAGCCTGGACATCCCGGGAGATCTTTTCACCTGTAATGTGACCCCAAACAAGTGTCAGAGAGCTTGACAGCCTGTAGGAAATGTTATAGGCCCTGCCTTCTGTCTTCATCCCAGAGAGGAGCAGGCAGGTAGGATCAGCGGGCCACAGCAGGCTTATTTCCCTCTCTCCTTGGTGACCACAGACCAGCCTTTTGAAGATCCTGACAAGTTCCACTCCGCGTCCCGGGGGCTCCAGGGCCTGGCATACTCCTGATTACGGTAGGTGTCCATCTGACTCTTTCCCATCTGGCCCTGGAGTGGGTTTAACAAGGTGGGGTAGTTGGGGTCCAAGTCTTCCTTCCTTGTGCCTGTCTAGATAGCTGACTAAGGCACATGGCTGAGAGCAATGGCTTCCTATCCTCTTGTAGCTAGCCTTCCTCCAAGACTTCTCTTCTCTTCTCCTCTCCAGGTCTGCAGGTGCTGTCCCCACTGAGGCTGGACTGGAGGTCCTGGACTCACATTCATGGCTGGATGGCAGCACAAACAGATACAGGGTCAGGACTTCGGGTAGACCTCAATCCCTGGGATGTGCGGGGAGAGGCCTTCACCTCTGTGCCCAAGGCCTCCTCATACCCGCAGGCCCTCACACTTACCTCTCTTTCTTGGGGCACATTAGAAGCCCAGCACTGTGAGGATGCTCTTGGCAGGAGAGCATCATAGGGAGGTGTTGGGGTGTCGGGCCTTACCCACTGGATCAGTTCCTCTGTAAGAGATGGATTTTGTACAGACCAGAGATGTTGGTAAGATGAGCGACAATTAGGAACTGTGAGAAAGAGGACAGCTCAGGGAGAGGTCACCTAGAGAGACCCTGTTTGCATCTGACCGATCACACCTGACCTAGCAGCCCACTTTCTCTCTCGTGAGCAAGGTGGTGTCTAAGGGTCTCGGGAGGCCCATTCAGGCTCCCATGGAGCTGCCCACAGCCACTGGGCCCCAGTGGCTGCCCCACCCCTCTGAGAGAAGCACGTTCATGCTGATCACACACACCTCCCTGTGGGGGTTTTAGGCATGGAAAATGCACAGAAGGGCCTTCTGAATTTTGACTCTTACCCCAATGGATGGTTCATGAATTTTGTCCCCCTACCACCATACACCCAACTCCAGTTGGCCCCAGAGAACATCGTGGCTGCACCTTGGTGGCCTCATGCTCTGCTGAGTTTGGACAAAATGGAACAATAAAGCCAGATGCAGGTGGCCACGTGGCCTCTCTTGCCTGCTTCCTTGGTCTGCTTTTCTCAGTGGCTCTGCAGCTCTCCGAGGGCCACTTGGTCCACGCTCCTGGGCAACTTTGTGTCTCAGGCTTTTAAAACATCTCCAGTGACCTGAGCATGGTGGCACACGCCTTTAATCCCAGCATGTGGAGGGGGTGGAAGGGTGGGTGCAGAGGCAGGTGGATCTCTGTGAGTTTGAGGCCAGCCTGATCTACAAAGCAAGTCCAGGACAGCCAAGTCTATATAGAGAAACCCTGTCTCCAAAAACAAAGAAACAAGCGAACAGACATCTCCAGTGGGCAACTTAGTAATTAGCCCCTGTTTTGTGCCTCCCAGATGGGTTCAGTGCTAACAGGGTGAGGCATGACCAGGAACTTAGGACTTCCTATCCTGACCATCTGGCCAAGAGCAAGATGAGGGTTGCCGGACATTGCTGGGAACTAGGGCAGAGCGCATTAAATGCTAACTAGATGTGTAGGTTTCGGAGGCTAGAGGACCTATCATGTTTGGCGGCAGCTTTGGGGCCCCAGGATACCCCTTTCAATCACACTTCAACCCCTCTTGCCTCCTCCCCAGGTCTAGACCCCTTTAGGCTTTACCTAAGAGTTTTAAAGGCACATAGTAAATCATTCCCTTGGCCTATTCACCCACCAGAACCCTACAAGACTCCCAGACCCAGAGACATACTCTATGGGTAAAGTCAGGTTTCCTCCTTTTGAAAGATATTAAAAAAAAAAAAAAAAAAATCCACTACCCAGTGAGTCCAATGCCCAATCTGGACCTTGGGCACTTAGAAACCCTGTCTTTACCAACCCCCACACCCATGCCCTGCAGCCT